ACCGCCTCTAGAAATTCATTAATCAATTTATGGTATAAAGTTGACAAAATTAATAAATACGAGTCCTGGTATAAAATGAATGATTTTATTTGTGTATAAGTGTGGGTTGGACAACCTCTCCCTTCGAGTTAACTTTTAAGTATGATTTTATCATCACACAATATAAATCATGTAATAAGATAATGACTTATATTTCAAGGTCATACCAGAACAAGTAGTAATACATCTTGTGCAACACAAAAAGTAATATAAAGTAGTAATACATCTTGTGTAGTACTTTGATCATTTTTTTTTCGGGAACGATAGAGATTATATATATCACATCAAATAGAGAACAACGTTCGAATACAAGCCAAGACCCAAAAGGTCAATAATAAAAACCTAACAATAAGCTAAAGATGAAAGGACTCGCAATAAAGCGGCCTAGATAAACTCAAATCAAGGACAATGAGAAGGATAGAAAGACCACTGCAATGAAGCCTAGCCTACTACCAATCTCCAACGGAAAACCAAAAACACAATAAGCAAAGAAGCACAACTATATACAACTGCAAAACAGAAAAGAATGACTGCTGAGGACTAAAACATCATTTCTTCATTGCTCTGAATTCCATCCAAGCCTGATGAGCCTTGTTGATTACTACCTGGATTGGCAATTTGATTTGTTCAAACATCCACAAATTTCTTCATTTCCACAACCACCATAGAAGGTAGATTGTGAGTTGTATTCTTTCTTCAGCAACAGGTGATGATTTGATTGAACATAAGTGCCACCACCATGTTCTGAAAAGGCAACCTTCAGTGGCAACTCCATCCCAATTCAGAGGACTCAATTTCCACAGCATCTGAGCTCTATGGCAATGGAAGAAGATGTGCTCAGTAGTTTCAGGAGCTTCTCTACATGCATGGCAAAGGACATCTACAGCAATCCCTCTTTTGACAAGGTTGGTGTTGACAGGAAGAGTACCAGTAATGCACTTCCACAGGAAGTGCTTGAGTGTTCCCTTTACTTGCAGACTCCAAGTTCTGATTCTTGATTTTTTGATGAGATGAGAGTTGCTGCTATTACCTGGAATATCAAGCTCAAGCCTTTTCTGATTTATCAAAAAGTCATAAGTGGAAGATACGGAAAAATTCCCCTCCTTTTCCAAGCACTAGAAAACTCTGTCATTTGAGGATTGTCTGGCTCTCCTCTTCTTTAAACAATTGTCTGACCAATCAGGAGATCCATTGAAGTCCATTCTCCTGCATTAATTCCTTCACCCAAGTAATGTGGCCCCGAGCAACTTCCAACAGAGATGGTTTGGCAAGTGGTAGGCTGGGAACCCAGTTGATGTCAGTTATCCTAGTATTAGCACCATTATTAATTTCAGTTCTAAGCCCCTGTGCCAAAATAAGTAGACAATCCAACCAAGTATTCCAGATCTAGGACCCATGCTGTGTTTTAGTAATTGAACACTGAGGAAAGTATCTGTCCTTAATCACTTTGCTCACAAGAAGATCATGCTGTGAAACCAGTCTCCACAGTTGTTTACAAATGAGGGCCTGATTGAAAGATCTCACATCTTTGAAGCCTATTCCCCCGTCTGTTTTGGTAGAGCGAGTAACTTCCAGGTTTTCCAGTGAATTCCTTTCTCATGAGCTTCCCCTTTACTCCACCAGAATTGAGTACTGAGGCTTAAGATGGCTTTACAAATTGACACTGGTAGCTTGAAACATGACATGGTGAAAACAGGCAAAGCATTGATAACAAATTTCAATAGGATCTCCTTTCCAGCCACATAAATCATTTTGTTCTTCCAAGTTTCAATTCCATAGTTTAGCTTTAACAGATGCAATGACATAAGAAAAAACCTCAGGTTTAGATCTGCCGATCCCCAGAGGGAGGCCTAAATATCTGGTGGAAGTGTGATGCTGAATCCCATTCAAAGTTGTGCATATATCCCTTGAATCTATATAGGAGTGTTCTTACTGTAAAATGCAGAAGACTTCTGAAGATTCAACCTTTGCCCTGTGAACAACCAGAAATTCTATGGCGCCCATATGGGCACCATATGGTGCCATAATCTCACGATCCAACGCCTAATATCCATTCTATCAATTCCACAATGAATATTAGGCGTTAGATCGTGAAGATTATGGTACCATATGGTGCCCATATGGGCGCCATAGAATTTCTGTGTGAACAACCTACATATTTCCAGCAGGTTCATTAACACTTTTTCTTACTTATATTTATAAAATAAAAATAAACATAATATTTAGTAAAGTTTACAACTAATTTATTGGTTATGCACAATGATGCGATACTAGAATGAGTTTTATATAACAGAAATATTTTACATATTAATTAATGTTTTTGTAGTATGTAATTAATAAGTTATTATCATAAATGGATAGTGCTATTAAGAAGAAGGTGCTATAAAAATAAATTATATTCTCATTTTATATAAATAACCTAAGATAAACTATTATGATTAATATTTTATATATTTTCAAATAATTATTTGTAATTAAATTTGAGTAATCTTGCAATAATCATTATAATTAGAAGAAAAATAATTTTTCTTATGCTTTTAAAGAAAGATTATTTTAGAGAAAATATACAATACTAAAAAAGAAAAAAAATATTATTACAAAAATTTTCTTTTTTAGTATTTGAAGTGTTTAGTGAAAAATTACACATACTATTTTGAGTAAATACCAAATATTCATTTATATACATACATAAAATTAAAAAAACAAAAAATTAAAAAAAAAACCTAAAAGTTAATATTAATATTCAAAATTATTTTATACTAATCAATATTCATTCATTCTTTTACTTATTAGGATTTATTATTATTGTCTCGTGCATCACACGACCAAGTACTGATTTTAACATAAGATTTTTCTATCACAAATAATAAATAAAATGCCCAATAACAATTTAAAATTACTTGCATTCGAGAATTTACGTATCACAATTTTATTATCATATATAGTTCTGTCTCCTGAAATTCTGTTTTGGAATAATTTACCTTGTTTTCATTATTGGCCATCAGGTTATTTGATTTAACTAACTTTGATAGGCAATATATTTTGATTGAAAAAAATAAATAAATAAACTGAATAATTATTAATGTTTTATGTTAAGTTGTATAGAATATTATTTTGGATGTTATCTCTAATGTAACACAAAATAAAGAAAGAATCCCATGCGTAATTATCATGTGATAGCAAAATTAATAAAAATGCATTTACCATAAGGACGTAAGAAATTCATAAAGGACATATAAATCTATCCCCCACATTCTCTTAATAGTTACCATCTTAATATGCAAAAATCAAAATAATATACTCCATGTTAACTGTTAAGTATATATCATCATAAAATCATGCATACTATATATGGCTATAAAAGTTGACTCAAGTCTAAGTCTATTTTATATGTCACGTCTGTAAAACTAGACCCAAAGGATTGTGATGCTCCCATAACAACAAAAATTCGCTAGGAAGGTATTCTCTGGCCGCCGCTCTCCTTTCTTCATTGAATCTAGGGCTCCCTCTTAGATCCATATTGTATTTTGGTGTTACGATTTTCCTCTTTCATCAGTAGTCAGTCGCGTTTATTTTAATTGATGAATCAACACTGTTCATCCTCGGCTGATGTTGTGTGTGTGTNATTATTTAATTCGCTTACCATTTTAGCTAGGTTTGATGTAAGCTTTGTTCTTAGAGTAATTTTTTTTTTCCCTCTTTTTCTGGTAGACGTTTAACCCTTGGGACTCTAAAGTTGAAAAGGGAATGACCATTCTGGGTTTTGTTCTCAAAGAAGGAATTGTGATTGCTGCTGATCATCGTGAGTTCGTTTACTAGGCTATCCTTATTTATATACATTTGCCTTTCATATGTGCTGCACCAACCTTACTAACTTACCCTGTCGAATTTAGCATCCGACACTGAACCCAACATTGTTCAACTGAATCATTGCATGGTGGCCACCATTTCTGGAGGAGGAAAAGACTGAGGAAGAGGCACATCGTCGTTCACATCTCTGATCACATCTCTGCAACATCAGGTACTTATAAGTTTACAATTTACATTAAGAGCCCCTGTTTTGTCTTTTATTATTTTATTGAGCAAACTAAGAAAGGCATCTTGACACTTCCATCTAAAAAAAGAAATGAAAACTAAGAAAGGATTGTTTTGCAGGCTCAAGATGTAACTTCGCTAAGAAAGAGTATTATTCGTCAGTAGGAATACTTATTGCCGTGTGGAACGAATCGGTACTTCTTTCTTTCTTTCTGTAATGTTTATTATTAATAATTTTTAATATTCTGAAATAGAACCTTTCATACCCTAGTCTCTTAACTGTCTCTCAACTGTGTCCAGGAGCGTGGTCTGTATAAGGTGAATGGTGATGGGGTAATTACTAAAGATGATATACTTGCTACTGGATCTGGTTCACCTGTAACAATCCTGGTGAAAGGGTATACTCCCATCTCTTATATGCGTTCCTATGTGGTTCGTTTACATTATGTTGAGAGCTAAACAAACTCGTTTCTGGTTTTTCTTGTAGTAAGTTATAATTCATTTACATTGTGTTGGGTGCTATTTTTCCTGTCGATTTTTTGAAATCAAACTACTTNAGTCTGGAGTGTCTATACACAAAGCTGCTGAAATTGCCAAAAAGGGTATTTGCTATGCTGCATATGTGTCTCCTCATTATGGGGATGTTGTTAGTAGTATGGTTTTAAATCTCCTGGCTGCTGTCTTTCTTGCCTGTTGGTCTCTATATTTACTTTCTTGCCTGAGTGCCTGTTAGTCTCTGTATTTATTTTCTTATGTGTGCTTCTCTTCTCTGTTTTTAAGTTTACCACCTCGGAAGTGAGGGCTTCCAAAAGCTCTTTGAGGAGGATATGGAAGAATATCAAAGCCAGTTCCCTTGTATCCCCAGGACCCAGGTTATTGGAAAAGGATGGTGTTGCGGTAGCTCGTCGTCTTTGTTCTTTTGCTTGGTTTGATGGTTTTCTGGTGACACCAAAATGTTGCAAGGGTGTTGATGTAATTAATATTTTTGGACAAGACTGGTAATTTATTTAATTTGATTATACTTTTGCGTCCTGTTTTTGTTATTTGGATTAAATAAGTTTCTGTTTTTGTAGTAGAATCAAAAGAAATCACGCACTTGGAATTTCCTCAAAAGCAGCATTGAAAAGTTTTCAAGTGTTGCTGGTTGGCCATAAATTTGCAAGGTTTTCGTTTTTGCACATACGTCTCCTTTGGTTGAATGAGGACAATTCAATTCTGATGGATTGGTCGATGGAAATTCAACACAAATTTGCATGAACTCAACGTGGAGACATCGTTGTACGGCAAACTCATGGTGTATTCATCAACTTGGATGCCATTGATAGACATATTTTTGTACAAGTTAATGGCAGCCGAGTATTTTGAATTGAATTGGATTGAAAATAAGGGTGCATTGAAATAAATTGAATCGAATTTGAATTGCTCCAACTTAACCCTGGCTCGAGAAAGGACAATGACATTTCTGGTAAAGCCGGCGGCTTTACGTTGGTTCATAAACTCCGGCAGTTGAGTCTCGAGTTTCCAACTCTTGCAGACGGATCCAACAGTTGGGAAGTGATCATAAGGGGCACGAAGAAGACATTCGAATCCGAAAACATTTTCATAATATAGCAAATACCAATGAATATTTTTCCTCAATCCAAAAGGTTAAAAGTATCCAAATCGATGACATTGTATACTTTTCTTTTGTGTCTGCGTGTGAGTCTGTTTTCTGGCTAACCAACCTACGAATGGTGCATATGTTAAATTAGAAAAAATAACGACCAGCAATTACGATCATATTTGACGTGATCGTAACAAAACAGCAACAGCCACACATCACAATACAAATTAGTACTTTGTGTGGAAGAAAAGTCAAAAATACTTTTTAACACTCTTGCAATAAGATGTTCTTAAAGCATAGGAAAGAAATAATCCAATTCGTTATACGGTTACACTGCCTTTCACGGATCAAAATATTATCCCAACAACGAAATTCTTGCTTGCGGGTCGGGTTTTCATGCTTCTATTATTCTAAAACTCCATGTTAGAATATACCACATATATTTTTCATCTTTCCTGCTTTTTAGTATACTAGTAAAGTTGACGTGCGATGCACGTGAATAAAATGAGTTTTATTTTGCACAATATCAAAATGCAACACGTTTTTTATATTTTCTATGGTATATACTCACATTATTGAATATTTTTAATAATTGTTATTATGTTCATAAATTCATGTGTAAAATACATATTTTGTTTTCTAGAAATAATCATTGGTGTTGAAGCCATAACTGTTTATGTCAGCATGTTCCAAAATTTATTTAGGGTATACTCTTATCAATATCTCTATGGTATTCAATAAAATATGGTAATGGTTCTGTATCCTTATGACGTGATTCGTTTAGCTGCTTTATCTACCAAGTTTCCTTCAGTTTTTTAGATGACTAACAATATTTCCTGCTTGTGTCAAAGTATATTATATATTGGCAGTTTCGATTATTTGTAGAACGTAAATTTAATTTTTGGTCTGTTGATACCAATACTAATAAAAAAATTTGATGTGAATCTGAGTATGTGACTCTAATATATGAAGGTGTCAATGATAAATGTTTGAAAGATATTGTGTCCGAAAATTAAATAAAGGTCAAATAACCTACTATGGAAAGACAAATTGTCTACAAAAATAGAAATAACTAAATGAGAAACTAATGCGAATTCCTGTTGGTTCAGTTCTTCTCCTTCTTTATGCTGATGATTGGAGATGGTTTCTTTCATTTTGTACTTTTTATAGTACATATCTTTTTCAAACTACTAATCGTCTCATGATCTTCAACTTGAATAACACAATCACTTTCATCTTCTACTATGGATTGCTTCTTTCTGTCCTTGGTCTTTTTTCATGACTTGTCATCATCCACATGCATATCAACTGAAGAATTTTTTTGGTCATCTTTAATTTTCTCACCATTGGTAGTTTGCGACTTTGCAATTGCCTCTGCCACCGCATTCAATTATCCTCTTTCATTGAACGACTTAGCATTGACAGGAATTAGGAGTTGAAATTCAGTTGTTGACTGCAAGTTCTCCCTCTATAATATCCAGATAATTGTTCTCCTAAGGAGCATAAAAAAATAAGTCTTCAATAAATATTACACTTGACGATTCATGTGAATTTGAAATTAAAAATATATTTCACTTGTTCAATTGATTTGAGGTAATCATTAATAGGACATCCAACGTACGCTGTTTTGGCATCCTCAAATAAAGTTATAGTCGCATTTTGGTTATCTCACGATATTAAGACCAACCTGTATCTGCGATGATTGTATATTATTTTATAAATATTTTCGTATACATAAAATAATAGACGTGGTCTTTTTGTGATGTTTAATACCTTGGAGTTGGTTCCACGACTTTGTTGTTGCACTTTTTGCATGACTTGTAGTCGTCGTTCTTCTTAGTTGCAGCTAGGGCTGCACACGAGCCGAGCGGCTTGCGAGCCGCTCGCGAGCGCTCGAGTCAAAGCTTGGCTCGAGCTCGAGTTTGACGGAACTCGAGTCGAGATTGAGCGGCTCGAGTCGAGCTCGAGTCCAAATTTTACATTGTCGAGTGGCTCGCGAGCAACTCGAGGTATATAGTAAATTACTAAAATACCCCTTCTATATATATATATATTGACAAAATTGTTTGAAAATTTTCGAACCGAACTCGAGTCGAGCTCGAGCATTTTGAATTTGAGTCGAGCTCGAGCCTAAAAAATCGAGCTCGAGTAGCTAAAAAAAAAAATTCAATCCTGCTCAATAAGGCTAATGCTCGACTCGGCTCGGCTCGTTTGCAGCCCTAGTTGCAGCCCACAATTTTTACATGATTCATACTACAAAGATGATTTATTCATGACTTTATCAACGAAACCTTTGAAGAATAGAATTTTTCCTGTGATGAAGAGAAAAAGATAATGAATGTAGTCCGAAATTCAGAGAAGGAAATAAAAAGTCATAGTTCAGTGCATTTGCATTCAAACTAAACTAATTGATTTACATGCTTCAGTGTTTTGTATAAAAAATAAAAAATTAGTTAACTAAATACTTTAATTACACAAAATTTTTCATACACACAGAAGTAATCTCGAAAAAAAAAAAGTTTTGTTAACACAATTTCATTTACCTGTTGAACAAAATAAAGATATCGAAACCTATGTTGAATTCATTGGTGAAAGAGCTGGCTGGCTGGACGGATTTAATTTTCCTAGAATAGCAGTTGTATATTATTAGGTATTCCTTAACATAAATGTGTTCATTTGATTGAGAGAGTGCAAATTTTGACAACTGCACGTATATCATATTGGATCTATTCCTAAAAATATATGCACACACAAAGATATTTACCCTAGAAAAAATGTGGTACTTCTTTTACTCGTTTATCTAATGTACCTTATTAAGCTCGTCTCGGTTCAACAACATTTGATGTACGGTTACAGATTCGACATCCTTCATCTTTTGTTGCATCGAAATTTCAAGCAACTTCATAGGTTTGTCATGTACTTTCAAATTAATAAATATATATAAACAAATAAGATATTATTTTTTAAATTTATATTTGTATTATATTACATCCACTGCCATGAATTTAGAGTACCATTGACTAAATTGCTTGTTTTCTTCACAAGGGGTGTTCATTTCCATAATAGATGTGCCATTTGTTTGCAATTGCATTTAACCTAATGATGTGAAAGTGAACAGTATTAGAATAGAAAGTCCAACTCTTTCACTAAAACAAATGTATAGAATATAAATACCAAATTTTAAAATTAATTATTTTCAAATCTGTTTATTATAATTGGAAGTACTTTACCAACTCTCTCTCTCTGCGATAAACTTTCCCCAATTTTACCCTAGCTTGCGCCACTTTAATTTCGATCAATTCACCTCCTCCGGCGTCGGCGAGGCCGGGCCGGCGGTCGCCGCGACTGCCTGGCTTGTCCTGATGACGGTCTCTCTCTCTTCTCTGGCTGTGTTTGGTGGATTCGGCGGATTGGCTCAAGACGGTTGGTGGGTGGGTTTTCCGTCCTTTTCTCCCTCGAGTGAAGTCCGGTGGCTTGCAGGTTCTCGGTATAGGTGGCGGACTCTGGTTGGGGGAGGGGATCTCTCGTCCTCGGCGGTTGGTGCCTTGATGCCTCATCTCGGTCTTTTGCAGGGAGCGTCTCTGCCGAAGTTCTGATGTGGGGATATCCTCCGATGCGGTGGTGTTGGGACGGCGGTGGTCAATGGATGGGGTGGGGCTCCGGTGGCCTGTGATGGTGCTGCAGGAGTAGAGTATGTGGCTGCGAGTTCCCCCTTTTCTCCGGCTTTGCTGCGGCTTGGCCGGAGTCCGACGCCCCTGAGTAGCCTAGTGGTGTTAGATGCGATTGGGGTGTGTCGGTTAGGGGTGGCTCAACTGCCTGTACCCTCGGTTGGCGGCAAATCGTCTCGTGGTTTGGTTCGGGGGCGGGGGTTCGGTTTCTGTATAGGCTTAATTGCAGTTTCGGGAGCTGTGCCTTGGCTAGGGGCCGAACTGTGATCCGGTTGCTGCTCGTTCGGGATCGTCTTTCTTCAGAGGAGGGTGTAGTAATTAGTAATTAGGTGTTTGTGTCTGTTTGTCTTGTTTGTGTTTGTTTGTATTCGTGCTTGTGTTTTAGGTTTGGGCCTGTTGGCCTCGGTGCATCCGGGTGTCAAATTTATTACCCTGTGGGGGTCCGACACTCGGATATTACCCTGTGGGGGTCGTGTATTGTTGTTTGGTGTTTGAGTTGTTTTGTTGTATTACCCCTTGGGGGTCGTGTTTAGTCGTTTTAGTTTGGAGTTTATGTTCTAGCACTTGCTAGCCGGATTTCTAGGCGGTCTCACGACCTGTCCTCCCACTTTTCAGCCTTGGGCTGCTTGTATTTGCACATTTGTGCACTTTTGTTATATAATATCCTCTATCGTTTCGAAAAAAAAAAATCTGTTTATTATGACATGTAGTTATGTAATTAGTAATATAAAAGTAATATATATTTGAAATTGTAATAAATTTATATTATAATAGTTTATACTGTTATGAAATTGAGGATAATACTTTTCCTACTTTTTTATTTCTTCCACATACTATTTAGGAATATATTTTAATGCAGTTTAATCTTATCGAAATAGTTCGAAGGAGTTGGCTTCTTAATATTAGATATGTACGTAGAAAGCACCTTAGTAAACGACACCATAGAAATAACCCTAGCCCCAATTCCCGTTACTCTCAATTTCCGTCGCTTTCACTCAAGTCGAATCGCCTTCCGTGGCGACGGCGAGGCACTGGCCAGTGGTCGTCTTTGACCGATCGACCCGGCCCTAACATCTTGAGTCTCCAAGGACTCTCAGGTGTCGCGATGGGTGGCCCATATTCGGTCTCCAGCGTGGTTGCGTTAGGTGTGGTGGCGCCCTCGGTCTGCGCTTGGTGGCTTCTCCTCCGTCGCTGGCGGTCTTCGATGGGGGATGGGAAGCGCTCGATTCTCTTCTGTTCGGTGATTTAGGGGTATCCTCGGTCGGCTTCGCTGCTCACGGTGGAGCTTCTGGGGGTGTTTTGGGCTCCATTTGTCGGCGATCTGGAGTGGTGTTGGGAGGCTCGTGAGACAGCGGGCAGGGAAGGACTTCGGCTGCGACAGCGTTCCTGTGGCGGCGGTCGGGGTTGAAGGACCGGCCTACCCTCACCCTCCCCTGTTCGGCTAGTGGTGTTAGGCAGCGAGGGATCTTATTCTCTCGAGCTCGGCTAGTGGTGTTTGACGGGCTTGGGCAGAACTGGTGCGGGGGTGGATCGTTTTTCTCTCGGTTGTTGATGGGTCGATTCGGGATTGATTCGGGGCTCGATTTGGCTATTGTATAGGCGTTCGCGCAGTTTCGATAGTGTTCTCTCGGGCTTGGATTATTTCTTGTGTCGATTGTTTCACTGGTGGTTGGGTCTGTTTGTTTGTTGGGGAAGGGCTGTCTGTGTTTATTTTAGTTCTGTTGTTTTTGTTTCGTGTCGTCTGTGTCTGTATTTGTCTCGTGTTTGTTATTGTGTTTTTGGTCTGGGCCGTTGGCCTCAGTTAGCCCGAGTGTGACTTTATTATCCTGTTGGGATCTACACTCGGGCATTACCCTGTGAGGGTCGTTTTTAGTGTTATTGTGTTTTTTGTGTGTTGCTGAGTACTACCCTGTTTGGGTCGGCTGTAGGCGGTCTATTGACCTGTCCTCCCATTTTTATGCAGTTGTTGGCTGGTTCTATTAAGCTGTTGGCTGATTGTATTCAGCTGGTAGCTGTTCTTTTGAACATTTGTGTGCTTTTGGCCTTGTTTGGCGATCAACGAATAGCGGATTCTATCAACGGATAGCGAATTATATTAGCTGATTTGACCAGCGGATTGCATTAGCGGTTTTTAAATAAGTGTTTGGTAAATAGCTGAAAGCTTATAGCTGTTTGACATTGCAAAATGACTAATAAGGACATTTTATTATTTAGGGTGTATTCTTTTAATAATAATATATTAAAACATTTAATATTCTTTAGTTGATAATTTATAAATATATATATTTTTTTTTAAATTTACTAACACTTGATGAAGAAGTTATGAATTTTACATTTTTCTAGATAAATTAATCATATGGATGACATATTATTATTTATTAGCACCATAAACCAATGTAGATTGTAAAATAAATAAAACAAATTAAAATAAATAAGACATATTATTATTTTTGTGAATCCTCTATTCCAAAACGCTGCTCTAATGAACTTTTTCTTAGGCTGTGTTTGGTAGACAAATAAGCTAGCTTATAGCTTATTTGGTTAGCTTATAAGCCCCCTATATTCAAATAAGCCTCGTTTGGTAGGACGAGTTTTTTTAAAAAGCTCGAGCTTATTTGAAAAGCTTCTTTAGGTAGCTTTTCAAATAAGATAGTTGAATTTTTTTATTCCAGCTAGCTTATCAGCTAATTTTACCAAACACTTTTATCATATAAACTAACTTTTTAGCTATAAGTCATAAGCTATAAGCTATAAGCTCAAAAATTACTGATAAGCTATAAGTTAGCTTATCAGTTATCAGCTAGCTTATCAGCTAGTTTTACCAAACATAGCCTAAAATAGAGTTTTGGGCCCAAAAAGTTTATCAAATAATCTATTTACCAATCAAGCTCAATAGCGGATTTGACGAGTCAAACCTTTCAATTAAGTCTAATCTGCTAATTTATCTTCAATCCGCTATCTACCAAACGGGGCCTTTATAAATAAAATCTCTATTGTTTCAGAAACAAAAAAATACAAAAAATTAGTATTATTTTTTATATTATAAAAAGTATATTTAGAATTAATAAAATAACAAATATATATTGCAATAAAGATTGTAAGGCTTAACAACAGTACGATACATTATATATCATATATATACTTAAACTGATGAAAATAGTAGGTTGCCACATTATCTCTATTAACAATTATTCCAAAAAATAAAAAATAAAAAATAAAAAACTTTCATTAACCAAGATCCAATTTCCATGCTAGATAAATGACATAGATTTATTTATACTTGATCACAAACTTATATATGCATAAACCAAGGTCAATCGAACCAAAAATATCTAATCGGGTAAGAATCACATATGCATCTTATGACAACAACATAGATACTCAAAAATCAAGAAAAAAATAAATCATATGAATGCAAAAAATAGTATAATTAGTATCGATCTAAGGAGTGATCAAGCAGCTCCCTAGAGTTTGTTGGCAATGGTGACAATGTACTTTCCCAGCCCGTTTTCAAGCTCAGATGGTTGGCGTGAACTGTCCCCAGCAAAAGTCCCAACACCACAAGGGCTTCCGCCTTTAACTTTCTCCATTTCAAACATGTCAGCTCCAAATCTATACCTAATAGACACAAAGATCATCCCATGGTGAACAAGCTGAGTGATAGCCGTCAATCTGCGAGTAAACAATTATATTCACAAACTCTTGACATGTGAAAAAAAAAAACGATCGACAATCCTCTTGTCGGATGATTACAGAATTTACCCTTGAGGTATTGGTTAATTACAATATGAACCTGGTAATATCATTATAAATTGAACTCTAAAATCATGATCTACTATACCTCAAGGGCTTGTCCTTCATTTCAGATTGAAATAGATGATAACTTATCAAATCAAGCGAGCACCAAAGCACAAATGTGGGTATAGTTAGGGTTGGTATCGGTTCGGTTACCGAACCGATAGTGCCAAACGGTGCGTATAATTAGGGTTGGTATTGACCGAACCGATAATGCCAAACCGATCCCGGACGGATTATTTCGGTAACTACAAATATAAAACCGTTACAGAACGGATTGTAATCGGTTACAATGGATTCCGTAACGGTTTTTCTTACCGAAAAAACTGAAATTTACCAATAATAATGCAACTTGGATTGTTAATGGTGAGAGGGCCGATCTTTTTTTTTTTTTTGTTAATGGGTGAGAGTTTGAGAGGGTTGACCGCTTGGATACTTGGATTACTAGTACTAAGTTATTACTTATTAGTTATTAGTTTTAAGTTATTAATTATTAGTATTAGTTATTAACTATTAACATTAAGTACATATTATTATTTTTTTGATTCCTTATCGGTTCAGTTGTTACCGATAACATATCGGTAACCGATAATCAGTTACCACTTTAAATGAGTCGTACGGTTCGGTTACAATCGGTTCGGTAATGGTTGTTACAGACATATATGCTTTGAAGCATGCGATTGTGGTAAGATAATTAAATCTACTAATTTTGTAATAATCACCAAGAATTTTGATCCGTTAGCAACATCTGTATCGTTAGGGATTGAGTTCTCCTGTTTCTACTTTTCTTTCCATTGTGCTGGATTCCATTATCCGCAATTTGTTTTCTCCGTGTTGCTGTAATTATTTATTGAATCTACTTTAATATTTACATCAAGACATGTGGAGAATTCTCAAGCTTTTTGTAATGAGACTTTAATTTAATCTGGAAAGATTTAAACCATAGAGGATATAATTTTTAAATTGTCTCTGTTTTCAACAAATATATAGTTTTGGGCTTGTAGGGTTACAAGATGACATAAATTTTACAATTTATTCTCTTTTCATTTAGTTAGTTACTAGTGTATACCTCGTGCGATGCACGGAAACAATATTAAATTAATAATATTATAAATAGACCTCGAGTTTGAGTCACTCAATGACGGAAGTGGAAACAACTATTGTTCCTATTTAAAAAGAGGAAGCAAAAAAAATAATTATAAATTAAAGAGGAGGATAAACAATATTTAATAATTATAAATTAAAGATTCGGGGTCAAACAATGTAAAATTATCTTGTATAAGAGAATATAAAAAAATTTGATTACACACCATTTCAAAAGTATTATTATACTTTTTTGTATGGTTAGCTTATAATATTTGTAAAAATATTAGTAATTAGACCGATGAAAATTAGCTTCTTAAAGTAGATAATGGATTTCCAGTAGTAATTATGAATTAGTTTTTATTTTATTTTATTTTTTCTTTTTAAAAATAATGGATTTCTAGTAGTAATTATGAATTGGTTTCTATTTTATTTTATTTTTTTAAATCTGTATAGATAAGGGATGAGATTTTTTAAACACGTGAGATCGTATGCAATGGGATTTTGTAACAGAAGAGATAAGCTTGTAGATTTATACTAAAAATAGGAAAAAGAAAAACAAATATTTATTGTCAAACAACGGTTTTGATAAACTAAAAAAAATGAGGCGATTTTTTTGTCTATTCAGATTTGTCCAACAATTACTATATTAGGATATATTTAATGATTTTGGCGGGAAAAAGTTTCTAAATTTGTAAAAAGGTAATTCTATTTATATAATGATAGATTATTATGACAAAGTGTTATTTAGTTTTAACTTAACTTTTGAGTGTTAAGATTTTTATATGTCATCTTAGGTTTAATTAAATATATTATGAGTTGTTAACTACAATAATTTTATTGACAGCATATATTATGAGTTGTTAATTACAATAATGTTTCTGACTTTAAAATATACCATAACTATACCTAGGGCTGGCATTTTTTGACCGAAAATCAAAAACCGAATCGACGAGAAAAAAAAAAATTGAACCGTACCGACTCATTTAAAACGGTAACCTATTATCGGTTACCGATATGTTATCGATTCGGTATCGGTCCCGAAACCATAAAGGTTCGGTTTTACCGAACTGAACGATAATGCCAAACCGATACCGGACGGATTATTTCGGTAACTACAAATATGAAACCGTTACCGAACGGATTGTAATCTGTTACAATCGATTCCGTAACGGTTTCTTACCGAAAAAATAAAATTTACCAATAATAATGCAACTTGGATTATTATTAATGGTGAGAGGGCCGATGTTTTGTTTCTTTGTTAATGGGTGAGAGTTTGAGAGGGCTGACTGCTTGGATACTTGGATTATTAGTACTAAGTTATTACTTATTAGTTATTAGTTACAAGTTATTAATTATTAGTATTAGTTATTAACTATTAACATTAAGTACATATTATTATTTTTTTGATTCCTTATCAGTTCGGTTGGTACCGATAACATATCGGTAACTGATAATCAGTTACCGCTTTAAATGAGTCGTACGGTTCGGTTACAATTGGTTCGGTAATGGTTTCTTACTGAAAAAACTGAAATTTACCAATAATAATGCAACTTGGATTATTATTAATGGGTGAGAGGGCGATTTTTTTTTTTTTTTTTTAANTGACCGCTTGGATACTTGCTTGGATACTTGCATTATTAGTACTAAGTTATTATTTATTAGTTATTAGTATTAACTTATTAATTATTAGTATTAGTTATTAACTATTAACATTAAGTACATATTATTATTATTTTAATTCCTTATCGGTTCGGTTCGGTAAAACCGAACCTTTATGATTTCGGGACCGATACCGAATCGATAGCATATCGGTAACTGATAATAAGTTACCGTTTTAAATGAGTCGGTACAGTTCGATTTTTTTTTTCTCGTCGATTCGGTTTTCGATTTTCGGTCAAAAAATGTCAGCCCTAGATATAATTGGTATATTTTAACGTCAGAAACATTATTGTAATTAACAACTCATAATATATGTCCTCAATTGTTATGGCTATTCGTAGCATGATTCAAAGGGACTGGAGCATTCGTATCCAACATGTTCATAGGGAAGCTAATTTTGCAGCGGACCACATGGCGAGTTTAGCGTCTTCATTTCCTATTGGGTTGCTACGTGTGTCTTCTCCTCCTACAGGAATGGGGTTGTGGCTTGATCATGATATTATTGGGGTGTCTTACCCCCGTCGAGTCCTAGTCTAGTAGCGTTGGGCCTTCGGCCTCTTTTATTGTACCGAAAAAAAAAACAACTCACAATATATTTAATTAAACCTAAGATGACATATAAAAATCTTAACACTCAAAAGTTAAGTTAAAACTAAATAACACTTTGTCATAATAATAACTAACTAAATGAAAAGAGAATAAAGGGTAAAATTTATGTCATCTTTTGTGCTACTCTCAGGCACCAAACCTCTTCAGTATATGCTCGAATTTCTCTCGTGGATTGAGTCTGTTAAAAAAAAAAAAAAGAAAAAAAAAACAATATCCCATCAACAGATAGGTCCGTAGCATCGGTCCATAGTCACGTTTGATGTTATCATTAACTCGACAGTTGTTGCGCCTCTATCATTGCTACGTCTTCAATGTCTGATCCGGCACCAGTGGTGGCCGCGGTTGTAATTTTGGTGATGGCCGTCGTGGTGGAGCTCGCGGCAAGAGCGATGCTCGTGCGAATGCGGCGTTCTCCAGGGGTATCGGTGATTCGTTTGTTGCCAGTTCTGTTGGTTCTTCTACTGTTAGTGGAGTTTTGAGTGAATCTGATCGTCTTGCACTTGGCGGTTTAACCAATGAACAATGGGCTCACTTTTTGTTTTTGGTTAATTTTGCTAAACAAAATAATTCATTGTCTGATACGCGTGGCTTATTTGATTGGATGTACGACTGTGGGGCAACTCATCATATGACAGGGTTCTTGGAGTTTTTCTGATGTTCGGGATATTCCCGCTCGCCTTGTTCAATTGTCTAATGGTTCTTTGACTATGGCTAGCAAGGCTGGGACTGTTTATTTGGGATCTCATATCATTCTTTATGATGTTTTATACGTGCCCAGCCTTCGGTGCAGCTTGATTTCATTATATCAGTTGTTGGATAGTTTCGACTGCACTGCTCAGTTTACTAATAAATTTTGTGTTATTCAGGACCGCACTTCACAGAAGGTGATTGGTGCAGATGAGCAGTTTGGGGGTCTCTACTTCTTTCGAGGGACGGTTTCTACGGAAATTTCTTCTGTTCGGAAAGTTTCTGTCGATGTGTGGCATCAACGTTTGGGTCATCCGTCTCCTCAAGTATTGTCCCAGATTCCAGTTATTGATTATAGTTCTCGTAATTTGCATAAATCTTGTGATGGTTGTTTTCGTGCTAAACAACATCGTCGTATTTTTCCTCTCAGTCAGACTGTTAGCCATGAGACTTTTCATTTGATTCATTGTGATTTGTGGGGTCTGTATTGTGTTCCGTCCTTCTGTGGTGCACGGTATTTTTTTATTATTGTGGATGATTGTTCTCGTGGGACATGGGTTTATTTATTGAATGATACGACGGAGGTTGCTTCCACATTGCTGAATTTGTTTTCTATGATTAAACAACAATTTGATAAATTGGTGCGTATTGTTCGTAGTGATAATGGAAGTGAGTTCATGTGTTTGGCCTCTTATTTTCGTCGTCAAGGGATTTTGCATGAGACTTCTTGCGTAGGCACCCCTCAGCAGAACGGGCGTGTGGAACACAAACATCAGCATATTCTCAATGTAGCTCGTGCTTTGCGTTTTCAGGCTCATCTGCCTCTTCCTTTTTGGGGTCATTGTGTTTTGACTGAGTTTATCTGATAAATCGGACTCCTTCCTCGGTTTTACATGGTAAGACCCCATATGAGATTTTTTATGGTTCGGCTCCTTACTTGTCTCATTTGTGGGTTTTTGGTTGTCTTTGTTATGCTCATAACCAAGATCATAATGGTGACAAGTTTGCTGTTCGGAGTCGTCGTTGTCTATTTGTCGGTTACCCTTTTGGAAAAAAGGGGTGGAGTTTGTATGATTTGGATCGTCAGATTTTCTTTGTCTCTCGTGATGTGGAGTTTCTTGAGACTGATCCCATATCAGTCAGACACGTCTGAGCCAGATTCTTTGCCACCGCCTCATGTTGTACCGGTTTCTTCTGCGTTTGGATGATGATGAGGATCTTCTGGTTGTCTCTTTGCCTCATGTTTCTGCTGATACTGGGTCTTCTGCTCCTAATATGGACACGTCTGACTACAGGAAGGNATTACCACTACTCCTCCCACTCTTCCAGTGGAGCCCTTGGGTCGTGGTCATCGGACTAAGGTTCCTTCCACTCGGCTGAAGGATTTTGTGATTGACACTGTCAGGCCCCTCAACTGTACCCCCCACTACTTCTTCCCAGTCATCTCCATCCTCCGGTACGCTTTATCCATAGCACATTATGTTTCTTGTGATTCATTCTCTCCAGCTCATCGAGCTATTTTGGCTGTTGTCGCCTTCGCTGCTGAGCCTCACACTTTTCTGATGTCGTGACTGATCCTCGATGGCGAGCCGCTATGTAGGATGAGATTCGTGCCTTGGAGAATAGTGACACGTGGGATGTAGTTTCTCTTCCATTTGGGAAGCGTGCGATTGGGTGCAAGTGGGTCTTTAAGATCAAGCATAAGTCCGATAGTTCCGTTGAGCGCTATAAAACGCGTCTGGTGATTTTGGGCAATAATCAGGTGGAAGGTCTTGACTATCATGAGACGTTTGCTCCCGTCGCAAAAATGGTTACAGTCCGATTATTCTTGGTTGTGGCTGCTGCTAAGCGTTGGGAAGTTCACCAGATGGATGTTCACAATGCTTTTCTTCATGGTGATTTGGCTGAGGAGGTTTACATGAAGTTTCCCCCTGGTTTTCGCTCTGATGTTGATGGGCAGGTTTGCCGTCTTCGTCGGTCCCTCTATGGCTTGAAGCAGGCTCCCCGTTGCTGGTTTGCCAAATTGGCTACAGCTTTGAAGCAGTATGGTTTTTGTCTGTCCTATCATGATTACTCTCTTTTTACACTGCATCGTGGTTCTATCCATCTGCAGGTCCTAGTCTATGTTGATGATCTGATTATTTCTGGGAATGATACCACATCCATTGCGGCCTTCAAGAGTTACTTGGGTCGTTGTTTTCACATGAAGGATCTTAGGTTGCTTAAGTATTTTCTGGGTATCGAGGTTGCCCGAAATTCTTCTTGCTTTTTTCTCTGTCAGCGGAAGTATGCTCTTGACATCATAGCTGAGGTCGGACTACTAGGGAGCAAGCCAGCTGATTTTCCATTAGAGCAAAATCATCAGCTCTCTCTTGTTGAGGGTGATCTATTGTCTGATCCCGAGAGATATCGTCGTTTAGTCAGATATCTTATCTATCTGGCAGTGACTCGACCTGAGTTGTCTTATTCGGTGCATATGCTCTCTCAATTTGTGCATCAACCGCGTCAGGCTCACTGGGACTCTGCTCTGCGTGTGGTTCGATATTTGAAAGGCTCTCCTGGTCAGGAGATTCATCTTCGTACTGACTGCGATCTTCAACTCTATGCATGGTGTGATTCGGATTGGGCATCTTGCCCTCTTACTCGGCGCTCTCTTTCTGGTTGGTTTATTCATCTGGGTCAGTCTCCTGTTTCTTGGCAACCAAGAAACAACCGACTTGTAATGCCCCGTTTGATTATAGAATATTTGGGAATTATTTATTATTATTATTATTATTTATCTTTATTTGTTGTTATTATTATTGAATACTAAATATTATTAAATGTCTAAAATGATTTATCTGTCAAATTGCGATTAAATGTCTAATTGTCTAAATGATATTTATTTTGCCAAATTGTAATTAAATGCTTAAATGTCTAAATGTTATTATTATTTAATATTATGTGTGTATTTGTATTATTAATAATATTATTATTTTATAATTGTGTGTATTATGAATATAAATAATATCCGTTTTATTTTTATCGTCGAACCGAATTAATTTTACGTTTAATCGAGTCCGAGAAAACCGAAACCCGAACCGTTAGGCGAACCGGCTGACCCGCGAGCCCGACAACCCGACCCGGTCCGCCCATTAAACTGTGTGAGAGTTTCTTGTGGATCAAGATCAATTAACCCTAAGTCTTGTTTTTCTCGCTCCAATATCAGAAGAGAGAACGACCGCAACTTTTTCTGTTCCTCGCAAATCCCTCGCTCACGCCATCTCTTTTCTCTCCAACCCCGATCGATCACGCGTGAGATAATCGATCTCGTCATCTCCTCTCTCAAAATCTTTTTTTTCTCATCTCGAAACTGCACGCGAAAGCCATCATCTCCCCTCAGCAAATCTGATCGCCATCACCACCATCCACCTTGCTTCATCCCCTCGTCGCGCGAGCAGGATTTCCGATCACCGCCATCATCGTCGATTTGCTCTTCTTGCCAGATTATTCCATGTCGAGAACCAGTAACCGGAGAGCCCTCTTCACGCCGTGAAGTCCTCGCCACGACCAGAACCGCCGCGACCAGCCCCTTTCCGGCGAGCTCAGCAACCGCTGCGAGGCCATCAACACCCTTGATTTGCGAAGGGAGCCCGACGGAGAGCCGCTCTCCGCCGTCACAGCCCTCATCCTTCGCGAGCAGAGACATCCCCAACCCAGGCCACCATCTCCGACGACACCTCTGGTGACCCCTCTGACAGCGGCAACCGACTGCTTGTCTTCCGACAGACGAAGGGCTCCACTAACTGACGGCTGCAAGAAACCGATCGAGGGCAAACAATGGTGGGCCGAGCAGGTTCTGAACACCTTCGATTGGCTGAGATCACATCCGACCCGACCGAACGGTGGCTGGACGTTTTTTTCGACGGGAAGAGCCAAACCTATGTCCGGCGAGTTGCACAACGCGACTTCCAGCGAGCAATCATCGCCGAGCGTCCAGCCCACAGCCTCCATGTGCGCGCCTAACAGCATCAGTGGTCACCCCAAAGAAGTCGAACAACCCCTATTCGCGCACTCTTCGCTGCCCGCACGAATACGTGTACCGGCAATCCCAACAACCCGACGACTGCTCCTCCGCGTAGCAGCACCTCGGCTTTTGACGATCGAGCCGCCGTCCTCCCCTTCGTGAGCTGCATGTTGCCGTTCGAGCCCGTCAACCCTCCGTTCCGTTTTTTGAAGGTTTCCCGAGAACGGTACAGGGCTCGACCCGTCTCGTTTAATTTTATGTATTATTTTATGTGTGCGATTATGTGAGATGGGTGTTGAACGTGCTTCGCAAATTTATTAAATGCCTATGATGTTATTTTATGTGTGTTCGTAATTGTCTCGTTATATTGATTATGCGTTGACGATCTCTTCGATTTTGAGAAATCGAACGAGACCTCGTCAACTCGTGAATTGGTCGCTGTGGATTGGAACGTTGTATTGTCCTTAGTCTTATGGCGAAGACTTCGGACGAATTCGTTGTCAAACGAATCTAGGATAAATTGTCAAACTTTAATAACTGCTGTTTTAGTGTTGGAATTATTAAAAATTATGTACTGCTCCGTTTGCCTTGAAATTGTGAAAGTCATGTCTTTTGTTGAACATATGACTTGTGTTAAAATTTCATAATTTTTCAATGTCTGTAGCTATTTTAATAAATTAGAATGATTTTTGGTCAGTTTCATGTTAATTGCATAATAAATTGTGTAGTGATCGAAATTGTCTGAAATTTTAGTATGTTATGCCTCTATTATGATTGTATGTTGTGTAAAACTTTTAGAATTTTTGGATTAAGTTTGATTGGGTAAATAATATATTTTATGATTCTACAGAAAGTTGTTGTATTTATCATAAATCGGTTAGTTGTTGAATAATCCTGAAACTTGGCTGGAGTACTTGCATTATGTGTATTTTCATGCTGTTAAAAGAAAGAAATTTTTGGAGTTCAATTTGGTTTGGTTTGATTGAAATTCATTAACTGCTGAAACTTGTAGAAATTTTTAAAATTCATATAATTAATGTCCAGGGCTGAATTTTTGATATGTTGTCATTCTCATGCTGTAGTCTGTGGTATAAAAGTTTCATAGGTTAACTCATTCATTTGATCTGGTTCCTAATTGTATGTTTGTTTTTTCCATAAACTTGTTCGAATTTTATAAAATAGCACACTTTGAATTTGGGGATGAAAATTGGTGTGTTTGCTTAACTCTGGGAGGTGGCATTTTGGTTAAAATTTCAGAGTTAAATTCGTATGATAACCTGACCAACCTATTTTTGTTAATAAAATCTAGTAGTTTTAAATATATGGTTTTTGCAATAAAAACTGTAAATTGGCTCGTTTTCCGTTTCTTTAAGTGTTTGACTTGGTCAATGTTGGTGTTGGAATATGTGAACTTCCATGTGTATTTGATTGAGTCTTAGTGCGAGTCTAAGTGTTTCAATGTCCACAGGACTTCAGGAACAACTTAGTCGAATCAAGTTCGGCTAAGAATAATTGTGATTTCCGTTTAAGTCAGAATAGATGTTGATTATAGCATCTGAACTTAATGTAGGTGTTTGAGGATTCGAGCCCTCGACCTACCGACCTGTTTGTGTGACTTCTTTACCGAATTACCAGGTGGGTTGTTATTCTAAAATTGGCTATGCTGTAAATGTTATTACTGTTTTAATTACGGGTATAATCAATGTGTGCTTACGAATCATGTAGCCTTCGATGTGAGCTGTACCGTCCGTCGAACGGTTGCCCTGTATTAATGGAACGAAACCCGTGGGGTTCTTTACGCTTGTAAGACCAGGGCTGTGTTCGGTCGGAGGTATGAGACCAGGGCTGTGCTCGGTCGGTTCCCCGTTGTGAGACCAGGGCGGTGCTCGGACGACGGGGGATACTCATACTGGCTGGGTAGTCAATGTAAGGCCTGAGCGAAGGCATTCAATACGTCTACCAGCAGTAGTCTATGCGTAGGTGTGCACATGAGTATGAACACTGTGAATTTATAACGGAAACTTGGGATATTTAATTGTTTCGTATACATGCTGCGACCATACCTTATTGATTATTGATCACTGTTTCATTATTGTGAATAATGTTTACAGCATAGTGGTGAGCACTACTTTTTCCATATGTGCTCATCCCCACCTGAAATTCACGTTTCAGGTTAAGCGAGGCAAGCACTACGGCGGAGTAAAGCGAGTGGTGGTCGGTCTATAGGACTAGCCTTATTATTTATTATGCTTCCGCTATTTGTACCACTTATGAATTTTATAACTTATATCATGATTTATGAACTTGGGATATTATGGAATTTATGATTTATGGATTTAAGGAATTTTGGATATTATTGATGATTGGAAAAATATTAAGGAGAATGCTCATTAAGTACCATGATGATGGTTGGAACCCTGTTTGGGTTTATGATGAAAATTTGGGGATCCCTGTTTGGGAGTTTGGTGATTGATTGAGCATTGAGAAAATTGGTTAAGTATTGAAGTTCGTTTTGAAAATGAATAACACCTCAGGTGTTTTGAAATAAATTTGAAAAATTTATCCTGATTTTCGGCAAATAAAAGTGGGGAGTTACAGTTTGGTATCAGAGCCAGTCTGCGTTTCTGTAGACTGGTATGTACGAATTATGTGAACTCTGAGAAATAATTGAATACTATGATATGATATAGTTATGACCACTCGCTTCTGTCGTGCCGCGCCAACTCAGGTATGAATACTTGAGCAAAATTTTAAATTGCTTATGTGAAATATTATGATATTATGAGATGTAAACTGGGGCTTAGGAATTTATCCTCCTACTTTTAAACGTTCTGCAACTCTAGATGAGTGGCGAACCTTAGTTGTATGAACTTGAACTCTAGCGATATAGAGTTAAGTTCTAACTTGAGGTTTTGTTTGTTTAGAAATTTGATATGGTGTTATCGAGCTGAGTTCTGTGTACAACAGTCCTCTCGATGTATATTGGTGTTTTTGGAAGAGGACCACTCGCGAGCCACCTCGGAAGGAGAAGGCTTAAACAAAGGAATCCGACTTTGCTTTTAAAGAGGATAGTCGAGTCAGAAGCAAGCACATCGCGTAGTGCAGAACCGTCCTTACTCTAAATCCTGTTCATCGTGGAAATTTTTGTTCTTTTTCTCCTTTCGTAATCCCGGGAGGAACTTCGCCTTCAAATTCCAAAGTGTGAAGATTGGGAAGTGAGTTGCGCTCGTTTAGGACTGCTGACACGATTAGCTACCCGAGAAAGAGCTAACGTGTCGGCTGACGCTGTTAGTCGGAAGAGCCGAGGTGAGCTATCTATTTAATAACTCGGTAGAAGCCGCTGACTTAGAAAGAATCGCCATGAGAGTTCTTTTGAGATTTCGCATATCGTTAGATCTGTGGCGTACTGCGTTTTGTGGTTTTAGGAAGTTGGTGGACGTGGAACTCGAACTTGCACCTTGTTATTTTGAGACTTTTTGAAACTTTGAAATTTGTGAAACGCCTGATACATAAATTGTTTTGTTGATTCCAAAATTTTTGAAATTTGATAAAACCACCCCTTTTTGGATTATCCTAGAATTGTAATTTCTTGTGGAAACCTGGACCAAACGCCGACCCTGACTGGGTGTAGCCAAGCGAAGTGGTGGCCGAGCACGCACGACGGTGCTGAGAGACGTGAGGCTAGCGCGCAGCCAATCGTCGACTCGCATGCGAACTGCAACCGCCATCACCGAACGCACAAACTCCCCAGGCCAGAGTGTGCGGCCAAGCCTCGACCTTACAGTTGGTCTCCGAGTAGGTGGGTACGCACGCGTCCCAGCGCCCCACTTATGCAGCGCCAGCGAGCGTGCCGCCTCTTGGGTGACAGTACACTAACCCCGAACCTTCGATTCATTTCGTTGATCAACCAGTTTTGCTGAGCTATTTATGTTACCCCGAACCTTGAACCGAGAGCTCCAAGTTCCACTAAAATGTGTGTAAATCTTTAATCGATGATCTATGATTAAGAAAGGTAGTCGATAAGTCCCTATGCTTTACTTGAGAGTTTCTCGAGACGGCAAATTGGGAATGTCGTGTTGCTTTGGGTTAAGCCTTATGTTTGTGCATAAGGGTTGCGATCGACTCGTGGAGTCGATATCATGAGGGTATGAGCTTGATGGTGTAGAGTTGTATGTAGGTGGTACCGTGTTGTGGTCTCGGATGGAGACGCACGGTCTGTGATGAAATCGTGAGCAAGTCGTCGATACTATACTCGTGAGTATAGGCTAAGCCGAACTGGGTCCCTTGCAACAAGATGCACGCCTGAGCTCGGGCAGGACTGATCACCCTCTCGAGCAAGAAGGTAAACATATGAACATGGGCGAGTATGTGAGTACATGCCTTTCGAGTATTAGGCGATAGGACTCATAGGAACGGAATCGAGTTCTGGAGGGTGATGCCCGAACCTCGTGATTGGAAATTTCCTCGTTCGAGTCTATTGTTTCCTTTTTTATGTGTGTTCTTTAGAATTTCCGAGGATGGAAATATTTTAAGGAGGATAGATTGTAATGCCCCGTTTGATTATAGAATATTTGGGAATTATTTATTTATTTTATTATTATTATTATTATTATTATTATTATTATTATTATTTATCTTTATTTGTTGTTATTATTATTGAATACTAAATATTATTAAATGTCTAAAATGATTTATCTGTCAAATTGCGATTAAATGTCTAATTGTCCAAATGATATTTATTTTGTCAAATTGTAACTAAATGCTTAAAAGTCTAAATGTTATTATTATTTAATATTATGTGTGTATTTGTATTATTAATAATACTATTATTTTACAATTGTGTGTATTATGAATATAAATAATATCCGTTTTAATTTTATCGTCGAACCGAATTAATTTTACGTTTAATCGAGCCCGAGAAAACCGAAACCCGAACCGTTAGGCGAACCGGCTGAACCTCAAGCCCAACAACCTGACCCGGTCCGCAAAGCTGTGTGAGAGTTTCTTGTGGATCAAGATCAATTAACCCTAAGTCTTGACCCTTTTTCTCGCTCCAATATCAGAAGAGAGAACGACCGCAGCTTTTTCTATTCCTCGCAAATCCCTCGCTCACGCCATCTCTTTTCTCTCCAGCCCCGATCGATCACGCGTGAGATAATCGATCTCATCATCTCCTCTCTCAAAATCTTTTTTTTCTCATCTCGAAACTGAATGCGGAAGCCATCATCTTCCCTCAGCAAATCTGATCGCCATCACCACCATCCTCCTTGCTTCATCCCCTTGTCGCGCGAGCAGGATTTCCGATCACCACCATCATCGTCGATCACCTCTTCTCGCTGGATTATTCCATGTCGAGAACCAGTAACCGGAGAGCCCTCTTCACGCCGTGAAGTCCTCGCCACGACCAGAAACGCCGCGACCAGTGGCGTAGCCTGGATTCGAATTTATCCGGGGCTGACTAATACATTTAGTTGGTATTGCAACATTAATATCGTATGTTTTTCTAGATAATTATTCCAATAGTTTTTTTATTATTATTTCAAAACACCATCTAATTATTAATTAATTTATATATTTGTGTTGTAGTTTATTTTAGGAAGATGGCACAAGTTTCAGTGTTGAAAAGATCGACATTTTATTTATTTATTTACTTTAACAGAATATCTTAAGGGTATACACATTTAAGATTTTTAAAGATTTTTTTAATATCTTAAAAATTTTGTGTATTAAGGTTTATACTTTTGTGATTTTTAAAATTCTTGAGTTATTATATTGAGATATTGAAATTTTTAAAAGCTGTGAGAGAATTAATTTATTTAACACTGAAATTCATTAGGACTTTTTAAGATTAAATGAAAATTCGAACACAAATTGTATATGTCAAATCTTACTATCAAATCCCATCTTTGAACTTAAATTTTTTTAATAAGAATTTCACCAATTAAATAATTTTTTGAAAGTTTTGAATTTAAAAATGACTTAAAATATCACTCCAAATCTCAAAATGACTTAAAATATTATATTATTTATCTTATTCAATATGTATACTAGTTCGATAAGAATTGTATAGACATTATAATTAACAATTATATTGAATCACATCATTTTATTTCAAATCAATTTTTCAAAGGANTATTATTAATTAATTAATTAATTAATTAAAAAACACACCATAGTTGTTATTTCTCCAAAAAAGAAGTTTCAAATCAATGTTATATGATTGGAAGTTCCTAAATATTCATACTACTTGTTAAAAGTGATTAAATTTTACTTTCTTATTGTCGTTAATGAAAATAAAATTAAAAAAAAATTGTTAATAAAGTGAAATCTTATAATTGAGATTCAAAAGATGTGCGAATTAGTAAGAGAAATTTTTCAAATTTAATTAGACTAAATCAAACCAAAAGTAAGATATAAATATATTAATACTTGTTCCAATTATTTTAGGTAGGGCTATAGCCCACCTAAGCCTCCTACATAGCTACGCCCCTGGCCGCGACCAGCCCCTTCCGGCGAGCTCAGCAACCGACACGAGGCCATCAACACGCCTGATTCGCGGAGGGAGCCCGGCGGCGAGCCGCTCTCCACCGTCACAGCCCTCATCCTCCGCGAGGAGAGACATCCTCGACCCCGGCCACCATCTCCGACGACACCTCTGGTGACCCCTCTGACAGCGGCGACCGATTGCTTGTCTTCTGACAGACGAAGGGCTCCACCAACTAACGGCTGCAAGAAACCGATCGAGGACAAACAATGGTGGGCCGAGCAGGTTCTGAACACCCTCGATTGGCTAAGATCACATCCGACCCGACCGAACGGTGGCTGGACGTTTTTTTCGACGGGAAGAGCCAAACCTATGTCCGGCGAGTTGCACATCGAGACTTCCAACGAGCAATCATCGCTGAGCGTCCAGCCCACAGCCACCATGTGCGCGCCTAACAGCATCAGTGGTCACCCCAAAGAAGTCGAAAAACCCCTATTCGCGCACTCTTCGCTGCCCGCACGAATACGTGTACCGGCAATCCCAGCAACCCGACAACTGCTCCTCCGCATAGCAGAACCTCGGCTTTTGACGATCGAGCTGCGTCCTCCCCTTCGTGAGCCGCGTGCTGCCGTTCGAGCCCGTTAAACCTCTGTTCCGTTTTTTAAACGTTTCCCGAGAACGGTACAGGGCTCGACCCGTCTCGTTTAATTTTATGTATTATTTTATGTGTGCGATTATGTGAGATGGGTGTTGAACGTGCTTCGTGAATTTATAAATGCCTATGATGTTATTTTATGTGTGTTCGTAATTGTCTCGTTATATTGATTATGCGTTGACGATCTCTTCGATTTTGAGAAATCAAACGAGACCTCGTCAACTCGTGAATTGGTCGCTGTGGATTGGAACGTTGTATTGTCCTTAGTCTTATGGCGAAGACTTCGGACGAGGTCGTTGTCAAATGAGTCTAGGATAAATTGTCAAACTTTAATAACCGCTGTTTTAGTGTTGGAATTATTAAAACTTATGTACTGGTCCGTTTGCCTTGAAATTGTGAAGGTCATGTCTTTTGTTGAACATATGACTTGTGTTAAAATTTCGAAATTTTTCAAGTGGTCATATTCATGTTAATTGCATAATAAATTGTGTAGTGATCGAAATTGTCTGCAATTTTAGTATATTATGCCTATGATATGATTGTATGTTGTGTAAAATTTTTAGAATTTTTGGACTAAGTTTGATAGGGTAAATAATTTATTTTCTGATTCTACAGAAAGTTGTTGTATTTATCATAAATCGGTTAGTTGTTGAATAATTCTGAAACTTGGTTCAAGTACTTGCATTATGTGTATTTTCATGATGTTAAAAGATGGGAATTTTTGGAGTTCAATTTGGTTTGGTTTTGATTGAAATTCTATAACTGCTGAAACTTGTAGAAATTTTTAAAATTCGTACAGTTAATGTCCTGGGCTAAACTTTTGATATGTTGTCATTGTCATGCTGTAGTCTGTGGTATAAAAATTTCATAGGTTAACTCATTCATTTGATCTGGTTGCTTATTGTATGCTTGTGTTTGCCATAAACTTGTTCGAATTTTATAAAATAGCACACTTTGAATTTGGAGATGAAAATTGGTGTGTTTGCTTAGCTCTGGGAGGTGAAATTTTGATTAAAATTTCAGAGTTAAATTCGTATGATAACCTGACCAACCTATTTTTGTGAATAAAATCTAGTAGTTTTAAATATATGGCTTTTACAATAAAAACTGTAAATTGGCTCATTTTCCGTTTCTTTAAGCGTTTGACTTGGTCAATGTTGGTGTTGGAATATGTGAACTCCCGTGTGTATTTGATTGAGTCTTAGTGTCGAGTCTAAGTGTTCCAATGTCCACAGGACTTCACTAACAACTTAGTCAAATCAAGTTCGGCTAAGAATAATTGTGATTTTCGTTTAAGTCAGAATAGATGTTGATTACAGCATCTGGACTTAATGTAGGTGTTTGAGGATTCGAGCTATCGACCTACCGATCTGTTTGTGTGACTTCTCTACCGAATTACCAGGTGGGTTGTTATTCTAAAATTGGCTATGCTGTAAATGTTATTACTTTTTTAATTATGGTATGATCAATGTGTGCTTACGAATCATGTAGCCTTCGATGTGAGCTGTACCAGCCGTCGAACGGTTGCCCTGTATTAATGGAACGAAACCCGTGGGGTTCTTTACGCCTGTAAGACCAGGGCTGTGCTCGGTCGGAGGTTTGAGACAAGGGTTGTGCTCGACCGGCTCCCCGTTGTGAGACCAGGGCGGTGCTCGGCCGACGAGGGATACTCCTACTAGCTGGGTAGTCGATGTAAGGCCTGAGTGAAGGCATTCAATACGTCTACCAGCAGTAGTCTATGCGTAGGTGTGCACATGAGTATGAACACTGTGAATTTATGACGGAAACTTGGGATATTTAATTGTTTCTTATACATGCTGCGACCATACCTTATTGATTATGAATCACTATTTCGTTATTGTGAATAATGTTTACTGCATAGTGGTGAGCACTACTTATTCCATATGTGCTCATCCCCACCTGAAATTCACGTTTCAGGTTAAGCGAGGCAGGCACGACGGCACGAGTAAAGCGAGTAGTGGTCGGTCTATAAGACTGGCCTTATTATTTGTTATGCTTCCGCTATTTGTACCACTTATGAATTTTATGACTTATATCATGATTTATGAACTTGGGATATTATGGAATTTACGATTTATGGATTTAAGGAATTTTGGATATTATTGATGATTGGAAAAATATTAAGGAGAATGCTCCTTAAGTACCATGATGATGGTTGGAACCCTGTTTGGGAGTTTGATGATTGATTGAGCATTGAGAAAATTGGTCAAGTATTGAAGTTCGTTTTGAAAATGAGTAGCGCCTCAGGTATTTTGACATAAATTTGAAAAATTTATCCTGATTTTCGGCAAATAAAAGTGGGGCGTTACACTACTGTCGCACGCTCCTCTGCTGGCTGAATATCGGGCGATGGCTACTACATTGTGTGAGTTGAAGTGGTTACGGGTACTATTATCTACTCTTGGTGTCGCTCACTCTCAGCCTATGCGGTTACACTGTGACAGTCAGTCTGCGCTGCATATTGCGGCGAATCTAGTTTATCTCGAGCGCACTAAGCACATTGAGGTGGATTGCCACTTTGTTCGAGATGCTGTTCTCCACGGTCTTATTCCTTCTGGGTAACAGCTCGCTGACATCTTCACCAAGGCGCTTGGAAAGCGTGAATTTGATTTCTTTCTTGGCAAGTTGGGCATTCGGAATCCGCATGCTCCGACTTGAGGGTGGGTGTTACTGTGTATATTTGTGTATTTACTATACTAGCCTTAGGTTATGTTTAGCCCTAATTTTGTATATATATTCTTGGTTAATAGAGAGTTGTATCATCTGATTGAGATGATTTTCACTCCCAACTTTGTCTCGTCTCTCTCATATCATGACTGCTTAACAATCGGAGGAGTCCCTCTTGTCGTACTTGTGGTTGAGGAATGATCGGGACACGGGTAAGTGGTTGAAATCTCTATTTTGTCTGCATATATCTACAGAAAGCAATAGCTGGAGATAGTCGATCAACATTGACTTACCAGTTCAATGATTCTTGGGTCAGTTATAAACTTATCGACTACGACTGGACCAAAGCATGCTTCTTGCGCGCGGCTGCCCGAAGTGACCTCGAGATCTCAGCGCGACAGTCCACAAGGAGCACCTCTTCGTCTGCCATCGACTGGAAGAACGAACAAGGCAGCAGGGGCAAGCAAGAGACCGGCTCCATTGAGCATGCACCGTCGCAACAATTTGGAGAGGGAAGGGGTCTCGTCGTGCATTGTTTGTTCCATTTTTATTACATTTTTACTTATTGTTTTGTCGCTATTTTTCCCCCGTTTTAGGTCTTTTCGTTGGTTTATTGTTCGTTTTGTAGTTTATTGAGTGTTTTTCTTTATTTTGGTTCTCTTTGTGTTTTTCGGGTGTTTTCTCTGGTTTTTCTTCATTTTTGGTGTGCAGGTCAGAAGCCTTGTGAGGAATCAATTTAGCCCGAACATCGACCAGGCAATCATGGTTGCGTAAAAGGTTTCGTTAGCAACATATAGGAAAAAGCAGAACTCAATTTCGAGCTTGGATGAGTCCGAACGGGCCCAAAACGTGAAGTCGCACGAAGTCGTTATCTTGGATTGATCTTGGAGAGTGACACTCCAAGATTTGATTTTCGGATTTGCTCGGATTTGGGATTCGAATTTGGATTCTATATTAATGGTAAGCATTACTTTTTTGTTTAATCTATGAAAGTGATGACTTGTGTTGATATGGTCCTTTGTGTTGAATTCAATATGCGTAGCTAATCCATTTGCTAGGGATATGAGATAAATATTCTTGTTCGTTCGTATTTGTCGGTCTTTGAGTTGTTCCTTCTGTTAGTGTTATATATTGAAAGCTTGGTTTTGGATGATATTACACTTTTTACCCTTTTATGAATGAGAATCATGTTTGATTAAACAAGTTCTATGTTCTGTTGTTTTGCACTTAGATAGAATGGATCGTCATCGGGCGAACAGAAGATCATTCTATCAGTTACTTGCGAAACAAGAATTGTGGTTCACAACCTTGATGAAAATGAACACCCCATCCGAATGGTTGTAGTGTCAACAGTACAATTGGTCTTAACTGATTAGTTGCACTAGTACATTTATGTATTGAACAGGATCCTAGAGAGGAGAAGTTCGTTTTATACTGATCGTCGTAAACGAACTAGGCCTCGGTTAATTACTGCGTATATAATAAATCCACCCAGCAATTATAAACAATTTAAGGCATAGGTATTTAATATACCCATCTGGAAAATCGGGACGTCGTATAAGCACAAGCGACTCGGTAGGTTGAGGACTCGACTCCTCAATCACCTACATTTGATCGAGATAATATATGAATAATTTATCTCATAACTTGGAAATAATAGAAAAACCACACTTAATCAAAAATCGATGATTAAGGGATTTTTAAAGAATTTTTCGTGGACTTGGAATTCTCAAAATTTTGAAAAAAAAATAAGACCCGGAGAACGAAAATGGGATCTCGGGACTTAAAATAATTTTTCCAGATTTTTATCATTTTATAAATATTTTAAAAATAGGTTCCGGAAGAAAAATGAGCTCCAAGAACATAAAAGGGCTCAAAAAGTCGAACTGGGCCGCTGGGAAACTAGCCAATAGGAATTGGTTGCCGTGCGAAATGGGCCACCAGGGAGAAAATTGGGCCGGCGCACGCACTCATTGGGCCGCAGAGGGGCATATTAGTTGGGTTGAATGATCCGTGGGCTAGAAACGGGGATCACGGGCCTGGACGCGCTCTCCTCGCGGGCTTCAGCTGCTGACCGAGTTCGGGTCGAGCGCGGGCTTATTTCGGGCCGGACGGCCTGCGCGCTTACTTCTACTACGAAAAGAAAATGGGCCGCGCGGATGAGAGCATGGGCTGCTGGATTTTGAGCCGAAATAAATTCGACTGGGCTGAAATAAGAAAAACAAAAATGCCTGGGCTACTAAAATAGAAAGGCTACGAGAATAATAAAAACAAAAGAGGAATTTACACTCTATACCTTCATATAATAATTATATTGCATACTTAACACCAGTTAGTTTTTTTTTTTTTATTTAAATGCAACTTCAACACAAAATAATTGCACATATACCTAATGTTTAATTTTTTGAAGTCAACATGTCAAACATGGAATGTTTTAATTAAGATCTGTTCTCCTTAATTTTTTCAACAAATTTGCTATCAATTAATCCTAAACAGAATCTGNGGGGGGTTTCAAATTTTTTGATATTTGGGAATTATCCAAGAATGAAGAAACTAACGTGAAATCGAAGCAGGGAAAAACGTATGGTCGCATTCATCTGCCTTGGGCCTTCGTAGCCTCTTGTTTTGCTTTTGTAGGGACGCACTGGATACGGTTTTATTATTCTTTTGCTCCTACCTTTCGCATATAATTTTTTTGTAATCTCAAAACTGTATTTTAGCCTTGTATTCTACAGTGATCAGTTTTAATTACCAAGAAATCTGAAAAATTATGAGAAATGTTACACAGCCAGCACATGAATTAATCATCCCCTCATATTTTATCGTTCTCCTGTAATTGAAACTTTGCAACTTTGTATAGTTTATATTCGGGATATTTTCGGTATATTTTCATCCCCCTCATATTTTATCGTGTTTGTATCGTTCCCCCCTATTATATGTATGATTTATATTCAATATATTTTTGGTATACGTATGGTTTATATTTAGTAAAATCATAGAAAATATATACAATACATATACCATCACTACAGTTTGTATTGTAAGTATATATACCGACATTATATTTTATATATTCACTATATATACCATGATTATATTTTATATTTACTAAAATCATTGAAATATATAGAACACGTACACCAACATTTTTTGATGGTATATTTTATGTACATATATTAAACATATACTGAATATATACTAACATAAACACAACATATACCCACCTGGACAGCTGCGTGAATTACAATACATGTTTTTATCTCTACTATATTAAAAACGTTCAATCTACACGAATTAAGGAATTAAAGGATTTAGAATTTATTATATGCATGGTTTTCATTTCTCTCTCTTAATCAAATCCATAAAAAGGGGGATGGATGTTGAATGGATATGGTAACAAACTTTAGAAATTAATGTAGTTATATATTATATATTAGGTAGAGATGTAATTATTTGTTTATGAATTGTGTTCTTGCAATATTTTCAGAATCTTGTAGGATAGATGAAAATTTCCCAAAAAGAAAACAAAAACTACAACTGGGCCTGAGGAGCTGAACCCTGCGAGAAATAGAACAGAGATGCTGCAGCACGCAGAACACTACCGGCGACAGAAATTTCACGACTATATCGAACACGACGGAGTTTCAAAAATTCCAAGAAATTTAAAAATAAATGTACATTTTCACAGTTTCAAATTTTTTTATAAAAACGGGTCTTGGGCCGAAAAGCGAAACGACATAACCGACTCAAACCAGGGGCAGATCTAGACATTTTGTTGAGTGTGGGCCTAAAACTATTTTTGAGAGATGGCAAAATAGTCTAAAAAGAAAATGTAATTTTCATTCATTGTAATTGATTTATTTAAAAAATAGATTATGATTAAAGTTTAAACTCGTAAATATAATTTGTACTCCCTCCTATTCATACTAAGTGTCGTTTTGAGAAGTTACACAGTAATTAAGAATATTTTTTTGTCAATAATAACCCTCATTAATAAAGAGAGAGATGGATGTTTTGAGAAAAGATGAAGAGTGAATATGAAAAGACGTGATGTATTTATTAGCTAAATATGGGTAATAATAGAAAAGTATGTACAAAAAATTCAAAACGTCATTTAGTTAATGAATGATAAAGCCAAAATAACATTTAAAAAGAATAGGAGGTAGTAGTACTTTATACTCAAACTCTTTTACTACCTAAAATTTAATGTCAGATGCCTTTTAAGAGAGTTAGAACATGAACCTTGGAATATATCATACAGATAAAACTAAATTAGAATACCATATTTATAAAGGGATTGGATCGAATTGCTCGAAGCTGAAATCAATCAATTGATCATTTCGATTTGAACCATTAAATAACGTTCAGAACTGGCCGATTGGATAGATCGAATTTTTTTCTTTTTGAAAAATAAGTTTTGATAATTCAAATATATTTTTTCAATAAAAAATAGTTATTTAAATATTAAATATCTATAAATTATTATATTGATTAGTTGAGAAATTTAAACATTTTAAATTATCTAAATGTTCAATTAAAAACAATTTTATAAAATGTTGATTATTTAAAGTAAGACATATTTATAAATATTAATGTATTATGTACCAGTTCAAGTGTTGACCAATTAGCTTGTAGGTTGGTAAAGCTTGGTTGTTAATTACTAAATAAATAAACATAAAAAAATTAAAAAATTGTGAAGTGGATAAAAAATAAAACCATATGTACCATGGCTAGATAGATGGAAACCAAGTAAAATACACCATCATCAACTTTTAATTTTTATTCATTTCTCCCGGATATATTTATTGTTAGAGTTTTGTTTACATATGATGAGTGACATAATGTGAACTTTTTACCCAAAACTTCAGTGAGGGACTAGGCCCCCACTATACCCAATATGGATCCGCCACTGGCAAACGGAACATATATACGAGCTATAACATGACGACTCGAAAAATAATATCGAGACCTCGAATTTTATACGATAATAAAAACAACAACAAGGCTCGATTTACAAAATCGAGAGTTCCATTCCACGATAAAAATCATAATTCACAAACCGACGAACGAAATGAATCGAACATAACGAATTAAATCCGACAATCAACGAGAATCGATAGAACGAGCACGATATATCTAACAACATGATATACGAGCACGAAAATATACTAGAAGGTTCGCCGAATACCTTTCTTTGGGAGTGCTCGGTTGGCGATTGAACGAAACGAACGGGACCCGAAAATCGAAGGCCTCGACGAACGACGACTGATCACGGCCGGCTTGTGACGGACAGAGACACTTCACTACGAACGGCGACTGAAACCAGGCAACGAACGGCGACAGACAAGTTGCCGGAGATGTTCACCAGAATTAATGGTGGACGAGGTTGCTGGAAATGTGTGGTTGACGGGGCTGCAGGTTCTTCACCTCGACTGATGGCTCAACCTCGGCTATGGGCACGCTGCTGGAATGGACGACAACGGCTGTCGCCGACGGAAGGGATGGTCCCCAAGAAAAAGACAGGTGACAGAATTTTTTCTTTTTTTTAAAAAAGACGATGATACGCGAGAGGGAGAGAGATGAGAGATATGATAACTGATTAGAGATTGAGAAATCTCCTCGGTCGAGATTTAAAGAGAGACGTGAGCGAGAGATGCGAGAGCGGGAGAGACACCGGGTTGCTGAACAGAAATTCGTATACTCACAGGGGCGTAGCCAGAAAAGTTTTTGACCTGGGACTGCATATTATTATAGCTATTATTGAAACCGAGTAAACATTTGTGGGTTCGGGCCGAACCGACACAAACCGGCCCGTTGACCATGGGTCTTGAATCGGCCCGTGGTTTTGACCAGTTCGGTTCATGTACAGTACTTTATAGTTTATACATTTTGAACTGGCAGTTTCTGTTCCGAATTGGAACCGGAACCCGAGATTCGGCTTTTATTTTTTATAAAAAAAATATATTATTCTTTAATTTTTTTTATTTTTTTTAATGAACCGGATGACCAAGAACCGACAAATTAAATGAACCGACCCGTGCATATCTTCGCACCGGTTCAGGATCCTCCAACTCTCAGCCCGAGATCGGAGATTTCGACCCGTAACCGATTTTGGTGATCATGACTAGAACCAAATTATCTGATAACATATGCCGGTTTGAATTGGAAAAACTCAATTTCGACTCGCTTATATATTTAAACAAGCTAAACCTAAATACCTAATTGAACTTGTCGATCAAACAAATAGAATCGAGCATGTTTGCATTCAACTCTGTAAGAGTTTTTTCTTTGTCTAGAAAATGAGGCCGAATTAATTATTGGAGGCGAAATAAATAAAGAAAAAATAAATGAAAATGGATAACGGACTGTGCAATGAGACTAACCCAATTAAATAGCTCGTAGGAGAAGTGTATGTCAAGCTTAATTAAATGGCAAGAGTGTGTTGGGCTACATTATAAATCCAATTGATAAAAATCTAATAAGGACAATTGTTATTTGACAATAAAGGATTATCTTTTTTCCTCTTATTGCGATCATCACTTTTCGTCCATTGTTGTCGTATAAAAAATTTTGACCTGAATCTTGAGGCATCCAGCCCGAAATTAAATGTACATAAAAAATTACATCAATGGGGCTTATGTATAAATTTTTTTAAAAAATAAAGTTAGCAATTTTTTTTATTTATTTTTTGAGACATGGGCTGGAACCCACCCTAGCCCTAGAGTGGCTCCGCCCCTACACTCAGAGTTCAAACAAATTGCACGTGAAATAATCATTTATGGGCCAAGATATTTTAACTCCAATTGGGCCAAGATCACAAGGGCCAAAGAATTAATCTTAAATTGGGCAAAATTAAAACAATTAGGTTAGGCCAAAAATATTAAACCACAAATGGGGCGGGAAATATCACATAAACTGGGTCGGAATCAATTTAATTGGGCCGAAATATTTCTCGATGAATTGGGTTGAAAGATATCCAACGCGTTAACAAGAATTTCGATCGATTCGATTGACGACGAATAATAAATAGAATTATACGACTCAATATATTAATTAGACGACATTTAATTAAATAATAATAAGTCTAAATGGAAACAGTCGAGCAATCAACGGAATAAAACGACATAAAATACGATAATTCATATAATTCAAATGGGACACTACTGTAGATGGTCGATTCTCGTCGGTCGCTGCCGACTAAACCCGAAGACGGTGCCTCTGCTCCCGATTCTATGGTGTCTGGTAATCTGCTATTGCTGAAGAGACGGTGCCACTGCTTACGGAGACGTTGGAGGAATTAGTGAGGCGGAGGATGGTTACGGCGGAGCTGCGGCGGCTATCAGGTCTTGTATGTTGTGTTCCCATTGCCGTGGCCGATGACCTGGAGCTATTGAGGTCGACGGCGAGATGGGGAGGAGGGCGGCAGGTGGTGGGAGAGGTAGCTGGAAACGAGGTGACGGTCGGAGGTGTCGGGAGGCGGTGGGCAGAGCTTCCGTTCGTTTACCTGCAATTACGGCGTGCGTCTGTGCGTGGGATGAGATATGTGAGTGTGTGTGTGTGAAAGAGAGAGAAAGAGAAAGAGAGAGAGAGAGAGAGAGAGAGAGAGAGAGAAAGAAATAGTCAATGAGAGAGAGATGAGTTGTGAGGTGGCGTTCACGTGTGAGTTGGTGCGTGGTGGCATGTGTCCCACTGTTTGTTGTGTGGAAAATTACTGCATTGCCCTCAATCAAGGTATAAATCTGAATATTTAGACCTTCAACCCTATATATGTGTGTGTGTGTGTGGGGTTAAAAAAAATTATCATTTTCACAAATCGAGTATAAAACACGATGGTTATTTTAAATAATTAACTTTATTATTTTTTAATTATTAGTTGTATTTTAATTTTTTTTATCATTATATCATAATAATACAAATTTCTTCACTTCTTTATTTTGATAAAAATATTTAATTATCAAGCACTTATGTTGTTCACGGACGTTAAATTAACAGTCGAATGAATTGAATATTATATTTAATAGTGACAAAAATGAATATATATTATATAAAACAAATAACACCTCAAAAAAAAATATTTTCTAGAATTCGAAATAATATTTAAAAAATTACTATCTTATTAATTATTTATAATTATTTTATTTCACGATAAGAATTTTAATTCTTTTTCACTTTGGACAATTAGTTTTTCATGAAACACCTGTGCATAGTTCACATGTGTTGTACTAGTAACTATCTATTGCAGACAGAACAAAAGATGGCAGACAGAAAGAATATCGATACACGTATTGATGGAATGGCCAAAACGGAAATGCATTGTCTATCTTCCCATCTTAAATTGTGTTAGAGTAAAATTTCTGTTGCAAAAGTAGGAGTATTTGAGTTGTCTGGAACTGCTGGTCATCCTTACATCCGGAAAATTACTAATCAAAATGAAGAATCCACAAAATCCCAAAATCAGAAGCTGCTTGGGAAAAACCAGATGGGCGGTGGGAAAATCGGTTTGAGGTTGGGAGGGTCGCATGGATAATAGCATGGTGACACAGTCTTGTCCTCATAACTGAAGATGCCAATGTCATAGTTACCGTGATTTATAGAAGATGCGAAAGGATCCGTAAAGTATATTGAGTTGGGCTTCAGCTCAGGCGCACGCAACGCAACAGAATGGCTGTGGATACCAACGAAAAGAGCCCAACCACCCAAGCACGAACCTTCCACATACTTGAGATCCCCATCCTCCGGATCATATCTATGAACATCAAAATCAATAGTCACAGTCGGGAGCTCAAAAGGTCTGTTGTACTCAACATACAAACCATCCGAGTCAACGGATAGCAACGTGTACTGAGTCAGCACCAGGAGATCCTCTCCGGCAACCACCAGATGGTAACTATACCAACATGTCAAGTCATCTCTCGACTGTAACAACTCCTTCTTCGTCAAATTCTCTTTTCGGTGGAGGATACTACTGAACTCACCCATAATTCGTATCAATTGCGGGGATGAAATCGTGAGGTCCCAAGCCTCCAACTGGAAAGAGTCGGTGAGGGCAAAGAGTATCTGTTGGCTTGTGGAGTAGACGCAATCTATATAATTGCTGCTTCCGGAACATGTGCCGAACCAGGTCCACTTGTCACTGGACAAGGGGCAGCACACAGCCATGGAATTCGCAAAGTGGATTAGGCTCACGGCCACACATTTTTCACTGTCAGGAGAGCAAGAGAGGATGCACTTCTTGAGAGCTAGATAATCATGCTGGCCGTAGAAAGGTGGGAGCTTTATGTGGCGGCGGGCTATCGGGTTGTAGAGAAACAGGTCGCGGGTTCTGCGCTGCACAAGGGATAGCCAGCCACCGCCGGAGGAACCCCGGAATTTCATAAGGTCGCCGGGTATTGGTGGATCCCACAGGGTCACGACTCTGTTCTCTGCCAGGTTGTAGAATTTGTAAGTCAGCGTGGTGGCGGCGGTACAGGTGGCACCGGCTTCATATACGGGTTGCAGCATCAGCCAAGGAGAACAAGAAGAAGATGGATTGCTTTTTTCCGGAGACATAAGCGCCGCAGTGCTCATGCCTCTCCGACAAAACCAATTACAGTCGCGACTCCATTTTTCAGAAATCAAATGACTAGAAAATCCGGCAAAACCTCGGCCGCGGCGCAGCAGGGAAGAATAAGCCATTTAGGTTTTTTATATTTTGTAATTCTGAAGAGCGAGCGGATGCCAATTTTGACCCAACTACCTGTTCTATTTATTTTGGAGTTTGTAAGTGCAAAAGTGAGGCCAGCTTTATATTGTGGGCTTCCTTCTTCTAATAGCTTTCCAGGCTGGTTTCCAACCGACCCATCCCACTGTTGCTCCCGTTTTCATTTATGAAATTGAAATTTTTTTAAAAAAACTAATAAATAAATAAAATTAATAATAATAATAATAATAATAATAATAATAATAAAATAATATAAATAATTACTTTGTTCACCATTATACCATGTATACTAGCGCATAGTCCGTGCGACGTACGGGTAAACAATATTAATAATAATTATAAATTAAAAATCAGGAAAACAATATTAACTAATAATTATAAATTAAAAATGAGGGTAAACAATATTAACTAATAATTATAAATTAAAGATGCAGATTTAAAAGTATCTAATATTTTATATATCATTATTGAAACACGTATATTCACCTATAATTGTTCTAAACTATTTTGTAAAGAAAACATGCTTAAAACTATTAAAAAATATGTAAAATCACCTATAATTTTCTAAATTATTTTTTTAACAAAACATGTCTGAAATTATTTAAATATAACATATGTACATGTCTATGTGTATATGTAAATGTATATTGTTGACAACTGACCTGACTAACCGAATTCGCATGCGTTGATGAAAGGATTATCTACCAAACCCAGACTAAACACGAATTAAGCTCGGGATAAGAAAAACTCAAGGTGTAACACCCCACTTTGATTTTAAAGAAATTCCGTACTTTCCAAAAATCAGTAAAACATTTTTCGAAGAAGCCCTAAATCATTTTCCGTCTCTTCTAACTCGAAGGGGGTCGGAGTGAGAGGAGGAGGCGGAGGAGGGGGCGGCAATGGATACGGCAAGTTTACCTGGCCCTCAAGACCCGCGTCTCTCACCGCAATATCGAGAGCCAGATCCCACCAAGGAGGTGATCATAGGGCAACGTACCGTCGCCCTTGAACCCACTGGGGTAAGGTAAGTCGCTGCGCAATGCCTTGTTGTGAAAGGCCCCTGTAAAACCCTGGTCGGTGGCCTGCTTTTGAGTACGCCTGATAGGAAGCTCTAGATACTGGCAAATCGCCGAAACAAGTAGGTGAAGATAAGGAATTGAGTTGTGATATAGGCTAAGCAGCTCATCCTGATACGCGATCAGGAAGCGTCGACCCCCCACAGAGCATAGGAACCCCCTAAACCCTTCTTGACGAGAGGACTCGGCAGAGGCAGCATGACGGGCCTTGGCCTCCTCCATCTGTCTCGACATATCGGCCAGTTTTCCCTTTAATTCCTCGTTCTTCTCCTTGTGGGATTTCTCATGGTCGGTCATTGCATTCTCAAGGACTACGCACTTCCGCTCCTCAGCCTCCTTGCCGTTACAAGCCTCTCGAGCCGCCGCTTTAGCTGATCGATCTCCATGCGGTCAACCCCAACCTTCCCATTTACCTCATCGAGAAGCAAAGAGCTCGCAGTGCCAAAGAACTGCAAATAAAAAAAAATCATCATCACCATCATCAATTAGATCATAAAGCGCGATAAATATAGCTAAGATAATGAACAACTAAATGAGGAATCGAAGAGCAAAGTCGTACCTAGGCGAGTCGATGAACTGCCACACGGGCCCGATCTCGGGGTCTACCCTCAAAACGCTAATTCTCGGAACCGGGCATGGCTGAGTGCAAATACTTGGCAAGAGCGGCGGGATTGGCGTCTTTCCCGATGTCGAGAGGAGCAGCCACTCTATCACCGAGGTCGGAAGGTCGAGCGCGCTTACGGGAGTCGACCCCCTCACGGTTGGGAGTCGGATGAATCGGACCAGACCGCCCGATGCTCAAAGAGGGGATGGAACTGACCACTTGACGGCTCGAACGGTTAGGGGTCGAAGCAGTCCGATTGGAAGAAAGGTGCACGTCGGCCCGCGATGGAGGGTCGGCTGCTGGATGGGTCGACTGAGACCCAGGTCTATGAGAAGCAACTTTGGCTTTGACTCCGGGTATACGCCGAGGGTCGGTCTCCTAGTTGGTTAGAAGAATATTTATTTTGATTAGGAAGATATTTATTTACTTGTTTAACAAGTTAGAGATTGTAGGGGATCTTGAACTCTATTTATTATCTGTCTGGCCAAGAACGTACGCAAAGTTGATGATTAAGAAATAGAAAATTTGTTCTTGTGTGGTTTAGCGAAAGAGAGTATCTTTTTTATCCCTTTCGTCATTCACGTTCTACATCACAGTGGCAGTACTGCTTAGCTGGAGTCATCCGGAACTAACTTGTGATCATATAAAAAAATCGGTATTCCATAGTTCTTTAGTAAAATTTGTGTAAGGATACTGCTTCTAGTGTTGGATTTTAGACGTACGAATCAATCGCACGCGCAGCGGAATTTTAAAATTTTCTTACCAACAACGAAGATCCGGCTATAACTATTCGATATGATCCTAGATCGCGTGAATGATACACGAAAACTTACAGTTATTCGTCGTTTGTCCTCGACTATGGTATCCACGCAATCCAGTTTCCCGATGCACGATCTAACGCCAATGAATCCCTTCCGGTGAAGAAGCTAGGAATCCTCGATCCGGAAAGCTAGAGAGTGTTTTGTCTTTTGTTGATCTCTCAATCTCTAAGATGTTTTGGGATCTCTCTTATCGATCCAACGATAATTGATTATGAAGAGATAATGAGATATTTATAATTAGGTCAAAACCTAATTATATGGGCCTTAGGATACCCTACAGCCCAATAGGTAATTAGATCTAATCCAATTAATATTTTAATTAAATATAAATCTAATTTAACTTAATTAAATATTTTTCATCAAATAGAAAATTATCTCATTACTAATTAAGTATAAATCTAATTTAATTTAATTAAATATTTTCTATCAAATAGAAAATAATCTCATTACTCATAAATAAATATTCCAATCTAATCGAATATTTAACACTCTCGATTCACTCTTAGTCGAAAAACTGATTGCATATTGTGTGACCCTATAGGCCTTCATATATTGACATAAATCTAATTTATGATCCTTACGAAACTCCTAGACTGCGTCGAAGGACGAACTCAAAATATGAAGTACGTTTACATGGACAAGCAAACAAACCTTTGGTGTAGAATTCAATAATGATACGGTCCCTTCATTCACGAACCACTCGATTAAGCTTAGGATTTGAACGTGTGTCTATCCAAACAGCTTAATCATTTTATCTCATCTCACTGGTTGATTTTATCAATTATATTTGAACACCATTTCAAATATAATCACGTGCATTGGCCAATGACTTTATCAACCCAGTATAGAGAAAACGAGTGTTCTCTCGAAACTATATTCGAGGAATGAATCCTATCTTGGCTCAACTACCAATTCCATGTATATCGTGATCTACCCAACACAAGCCCGTATCTACCCATAAGGGCGTAAGCGTTGGACTAGGTCTAAGTAAATCACTCTATACATGAATTGCGTATTGACCTCAAGTCAAAGGACTATTACACCATTCCACACACCGATACTCCCATAGACACATAAACAAATGGTTTATCGGTAGGGTATGCCAATACTCTCCAAAGTATCCATGTGTCCATCACGAATAACAATTATTCATAGCAGTGAGACATACTATATTCTCGAAGAATGTGATGCAGACCACATGTCAATCTATCGCGTATCATTAATATCCCTTTCTTAATGATCATCGATTGAGGCGATTTGAGAGTTATACTTCATCAATTAACATCTCACTCTGCTAATGACAGTATTAACTCAAGGGAGCAATTAATTAATAAATTGCAAACAATCAAACAATTATTTAATTAATTGCAATACCATAATTATAATCCAATATAATTATTAATGTGATCATGTATATATGTCCTTAAAATGATTGTCTCTAGGACACATATACCAACATCTAGGACATTTTTCGACCACTTACATTTTGTAAATATACAATATAATCACTGATTTCAATGTTTCAAATACCCCTAAGATATCGAAACAGAATTTTCACATCACGCAAATGAAGATCAACAGTTTACATTTGAAATCCCAACTTCAAAAACATGAGTTATATTACAATTCCTTATGATAACCCCGTTCTCTCTAGACCGAAAACTAAAATTTAACCTGTGAGCAGATGCAAAAAGGGATTTAAAAAATCAGCTCGAGCTGGCCCTCCTTGAGCTGATTCCCCTCAGGAGAAGCTGATATATGAATGATCGGAGTGGGCGAACCGCGAGGAGGAGATTGTGGCGGGGGAGATGTAGGTCGCTCGAGCTGTGCAGACTACTCGGGTTGCTCATCAACAGGAAGGGAGGTCGAGGATGGTTCCTCGACAACTGGCTCATGGATAGGTGGAGGTCGAGGATCGACCTCCATGGAGGAAGTCGTCTGCTCAAGTGGAGGCGAAGCGGACCGAGTGGACTGGAAGGTGGTTGAGTCGGCAAACTTTGAGCTCCATACCTCAACGGCCTTCTTCTTCAGAGGAATTTCCTCTTGGGAAGCGGTAAAATGGGCATCTCTGCAAAAGGGAAAACACGAGCAAGTTAACATCGCAACAGATAAGCCAATACAAAACAGACAGGGAAATAATCGAGCACATTTGTCAATAAGTACGTGGGTCATCTTTGATCTGGATGGGTTTATAGGGTTTTTTTAGTAGGGAGAGAACAAGGTTTGTGGGTGAGAAGACCACAAAAGTGTAAGAGGTCATCATCTTCGAGTAGAGTCTTCGACGCAACGGGCTTGGAGTTCTATACAGCTATCCGTTGGTCGAAGAGATCACTTTGAGAAGGAGAGGCATGCTCACGCTTGAGCTC